GAAACGTTTTCTTGTGGGAAGGGCAAGCGTTCTGAGACCACTGGAAAGTTTCAGTTCTTAGTTGGGGGGAACCGGTACGTGACTACCTGTTCCGAAAGGTCTCCAATGGGATACCGCTCCTGACCGCCGCGGCGCCGCTACTCCCTCCCTGTCGCCGCTGCTCCGCGCGGAGGCAGCGCCCCCTACCGGCCCCCGCGGGAGGACCCCGCCGGCTGTCGCGCTATCCCACAATGCCCCACTCGCGCCGCTCTCTGGGCGGAGAGACCGGATGGCCGCCGGGGTAGGGATTCTGCGGAGAACTCCTGGAAGTGCGCACGCGCACTGACCCGGCGGGCCTTAGCAACCAGAGCAGTGACAGTAGCAACGGCCGGAATGGTGAGTACCCTCGAGCCCTCCTAGCCCCAGAGAGGAGATAGGACGTGGAAAAGGCTGATTTTGGAGTGTCCTCAAACGGCGGAAGGGAGTCGGGAGCGGTCGCCAGCTCCAAGGAGTCAGAGGCCTGAGGCGAAAGAGATGCCCAGGCAGGGGTGGTGGAGCTGTGGGCCGCCTGGGTAGGCTTGAAGGTGGGCTAAGGGTGGAGGGACTCTGGCAAGAGAAAAGGAAGGACGAAGAGCAGGGGATTCTCTAAAAGGGGCACTAGAGCGAGAAAGGTGATGGGAGGCACAGTCTGGGTAAACGGATCTCTTTGCTGAGAAGTAATCCCTCCTCAAGGGTTGGGAGTAATCCCTCGGGAGCGTTGGGAGAGGGGCTTGGTTACTCCAAGAATGTGTTAAATGCCGACCACAGCAGTATGTAGCGTGTAGTGTACCCAGGTTTTCTTCTGGATAACGGTGAGGGTAGGTATTTGGTAGCACTGAAACCCAGTCTGATATATATATGCCTATTAGGGAAGTGCTTCCCAAGTTTCTATGTGCAGAAGTTGATTTCCCCCCCGGAATACACATTGTTACAACTGAATATGATTCACAGGGAGTAGGATTCAGGAATGTGCATTTTGACAATGCACCTCAAGGGACCTTAAAATGGGAGGCCATCCCACCGCACTTTGAGAAATACTATTTAGATTTGTGCTCACCTTGCAGTCTATCCAATCAGAGCTCTTGTGGCTTCCTGATTTTACTTGCAGATGCTCCTCAATTCTTCTGCTCTTCCTTACAAACAAAATGAAAACAAAAACATCTTACTCCTATCCATTGACTCATGGCTGCCCTATAGGGCTAGGTAGAACTGCCGCTGTCGGTTTCTGAGAGTAGGAAGCCTCATATTTCTCCCATAAAGCAGGTGGTTTTGAACTGCTGACCTTGCAGTTCGTAGCCCAACACATAAGCACTATGCCACCAGGGCTTTCTTGGTACTTCCAATTCTGAGTGTGAAAGTGATGTTAGTTGGTTTCAGATCCAGTGAAAGCTGGTGTATAGCTAAGTATGTGATTGTCCTGCCAGCTGGAGATGTTTATGAACACCAAGTATAATCCCTTGTCTTCTTTTCGTGATTCCAGTGCTTTGTAAGTGGGCAGAAATTGAGCCCAGGAGATTGAAATGATGAAAAAGTCACACTGCCTCATCCACTGGAATAAATGCTGCTCTTTCACAAGTACCTCCCCAACCCGCAATTGCCTTACTTACTTTATTCCACAAGTATGTAGCTGAAGACCATTGCTAAGGAATGTAGGTTTATATTCAGGTGAAGAAAAAACCAACTCTGAATAGTTGTAGAAATCTCAGCCATGGAGATTACTGAAATCACAATGGGTGAATCACTAAAGCTTTTACCGAGGCTGTACATTGTTGATTCGGGGACCCTCCAGAAGACTTGTGTTTTCCTTACCCATATAGTATTTTTAAATGTTTGAATTAGTTCTTCAAAATGGGCATATTTCACATTCGGACCCAAATTTCTGATTCTCTGAAAAAATTTTATTACTATATTTCACACATGTATAATACTGACATAGCATGGTGTCATACAATTATGAATGGCAGCTCTTTTTATCCTTAATGGTATATAAAATAAGGGTGCTAGTTACAATTAATGGAATTTTTGTGTGAGGAGACTTCAACAAGTTCTTGAGGAATTCCATGATCTTTTCACTCAATTTTTCCATAAACTTTTTGAAGCCCTGGTATTTGAAGAAATGTAGTATTTGGTAACTCGGGCTTCAAGTCTCCAAAACTATTGTCTGGAACCAAATAGAAGTTATCCAATGAACTTTGGGATACCTCTTTACCCACTAATGAATGTAAATAAAGATCGTGTGGAGGTGATGTCTGACTTCAATTCACAAGGATAAGGAAGAACTATAATCAAACTCACTATCAGCCCAAGGCTGATTCCTATGAGGCAGAGATCAGCTATGCTTTTACTTTCTAATCATTTCTGACACCACTCTCTCTCCTATGCACCTTCTATTTCTCTACTGGGTTCAACAATTCACTGTAATGTCATACAGGACTCACAGGCCATACTCATGAGGGAAATAAATGGTTACAATTCAGTATCAGGACTGCTCAGCATGCAGATCTTTGATCAGAACATCTTTTTTTCAGTCATGCCCACAATGTCTATGGTTCTTTGTTTCTCAGCCAGTCAACTCATTGGCCTGTGCTCTGCTCAGACAATGTTACAAAGCTTTTAGCTCAATGCTGATAAAGTCCCCAAAGGCACTGTACTTATCCAGTAAGCCTCAACCTGAAGGCGCTCAGCTCTGGCTTTTTGAGTCTTCAAGCCTAGCTCTCCAGCTGCTTAGGAGGCATTCCACTCTGCCAGCAAGCACCCAGCTTTCATGCTTTGATCCACCAGTTTGCCGTGTGCTCTCTCTGTCTTGCACCCAGCCATCTCTGCTCCACTTTCATGCTTTGATCCACCAGTTTGCCGTGTGCTCTCTCTGTCTTGCACCCAGCCATCTCTGCTCCACTGCTTCCTTGCCGCTTCTGTGGTGTTGCAGCTTTTTGTCTCCGTGATTGAGGAAGTTTGGCGCAGGGATCATGAAGTCCAAAGGACTTCCTCCACTTTTGTTTCCTCTTTCTTGATAGTAGTGAGCTATCCCAGCCCTCCCTTCTGTGTCTGAGATGACTCATTTAAAAATTAGTGGGTTGACAAAACTGAACAATTCCCATGTTGAATTCCATACATCCATTTTGCATGGTTTCACCCCAGAAGGATGTCAAGTACCTTATTTACATTATTAGTAATCCCCTTTAAAAAAACCAAACTTTATAAATGTCCTTTGCCTCCTGGTTCTTTCCTCTATTTTCTTTTACTTTCCTCTTGTCCCACCATCATGTTCAGCCTTCATTCGGGTTTAGTAATTCCTTGCTGCTACATTGCCCTTGATTGAGCCCCAGTAGGCATCCTATGACCTTCCTTCCATTGATTATAGTTCACTTGTTGTTCCCTTGTTCCTAGGTTGGTTCTCCCCCCCTTCCTTTCTCCCACTTCCCCTGCTCCTATATGCCCCTGGAACCATTGGCCCTATTCTTTTCATCTCCAAATTATTTTTACTGCCTAGCTTATCTAGATAGACATGCAAATACAGTAATAAGTGCAAAATTCAGGCAAAGCCAAATAAAACAACAAAGAAAGTCAAAACAATAACAACAACAGGCAAAGGACATTTATTGCTGCCTAAATATAGACATGTACACATGTAAATACATATAACGAGAGAGGAATAGAACTATGTACTCATATCTATACATAAGAATTAAGGTTGCAGATGGACATTGGTCCTTGACTCAAGTACTCCCTTAACACAAGAATGCTTTGTTCTAACAATCCGGCATTCTGTGATGCTCACCTTTCCAACACGATCACACAAGACAAAGCAGGTGCATAAGCAAATGTGGTAAAGAAAGCTGATAGTGCCTGGCTATCAAAAGATGTAGCATCTGGGATCTTAAAGGCTTGAAGATAAACAAGTGGCTATCTAGCTCAGAAGCAACAAAGCCCATATGGAAGAAACACACCAGCCTGTGTGATCATGTGGTGTCGATGGGATCAGGTATCAGGCATCTAAGACCCAGAATAAAACCATACCGAGGTGAATGGGGTGGAGGGAGGGGAGGAAGAGGCATGGAGTGGAGACCCAATGCCCATCTGTAGACAGTTGGACATCCCATCACAGAGGGGTCACAGGGAACAGATGAGCCAGACAGGGTGCAGTATAGCACTGATGAAACACAACTTTCCTCTATGTGCGGTGAAAGAGAGGGTCCCCCACAAATCATCACAGGTTCGGTAGGCGCAATTGTACAGCAATAATAAGTAAAGATTATAGTAAAGTCATAGAGAGCATGAGGGGTAGAAGAGAGTGTCAAGTAACGGAGTCAGACACAACTCATGGTAGCATTGCTCACTTCAGCCCCGCTTGATGGTCCACGTGGGGGGAGCCCAGCCACGAGAGCAGGAGAGAGTCCCCGGAGTGAGAGCAGGAAAGCCCCGGGCCGAGGACCGGGGAGGGCCTCTTCTTTATTGCTAACCAAGCATTATATCACTTTAGGGGGACATGATTACAAGTAACCACACGTCACAGGAAGGGGCAGTACAATAGGCATACACATTGTAGGAAGGGGATCTATGATAGGCATAAGCGTAGCAGGAAGGGGATGAGCTAGGGGTGTGCCCATAGAAATGGGAAGGTCTAGGGGTATACATGTGGCAAGATGGGCAGACTCTAGATTCATGATGGCAGCCTAACCTTGGTCATCCTTGGGCCGGTTAGACCTCTCTGGCATCTCCTACAAGGAAATAGACAACTACTATCCTTATCAGAAGGGAGTGGGCCCTACTTGTTGTGGGATAAACAATGGTGTCTGCTTGGTCTAGATGGCTGATAGCTCTTAGGGAGAATGACCCCTAATCCATTCCTGATAACCTCCAAATGTATAGTCATTCTCAAGCAGCTAAGTCTGGCATATATTTGGGGGAGACAACTTGGGAGAAATCCTTCTGTTTCCCATACCTCTAGTTCCTTGGTGCTTCCTTCACCCCACTATCATGACCTCAATTCTACCTTACAAATCAGATTAGACCAGAGCATGCACACGGCTACAGATAAGAGCCGGGAATCCAGGATAGATATAGCCCTCAGGGCCAACACTGAGAGTTAGAGATACCAGGAGATTAGGGGGTAGTGGGGGGGAAAAGAGGAATCGATTGCAAGGATCAATCTAGGACCCTCTCCCAGGGATACGAATGGAAAAGTGGGTGAGGGGCGATGGAGGATGATGTAAGATATGGAAATAATAATCTATAACTTGTCAAGGGTTCGTGAGGGGGGTAGATGGAGGGAGGGGGGAAAAGGGGTAGCTGATATCAGGGGCTCAAGTGGGAAGAAAATGCTTTGAAAATGATGATGGCAGCATATGTGCAAATGT